TAAGAGTCAGTGTAATAATATTTGCCAAGTTGTTTTAAGGTAATCATCGCGCGTAGAGGTTATCTTTTTCATTCCGAATGCTTTCCCACTCGCTCGCTTTGCGCATCGAGTGAAATTCTCAAGCTTCTTTGAGTAATAAACAAGCCTTATGTTCAACCGAGAGGTTGTTGCTGAGTAAACTTACCCATGCCATACTTAGGTATCCACTTAACCTCGTCCGACAATCCGCGAATTCCCTTCGTCATTCCGTCGAACTCGGCGCACTGCACCTCCCTTAAATTAAAAACAAACAAAGAAACGTGTTTTGATTACAAACTTGTGACATAAAATTAATAATGGGGCGGTTAAAGTGAGACGGAAGCGATCAAGATCTAATTACCTAAAGTCGCGCAATTCGGAATCGCACGGAAGATAATTGCAGGAGGCGTAGCGCACGTTTTTTCCCTTGCAGTAGGCGCCGCCGTTCGTCGGCGGTGGCGAATCGCAATTGCGTTTCGACATCTTAACGCCGCCGCCGCAGGTTCGCGAACAAAAGCCCCACCTAGCGGCAAAGCGTCAAGGTTGAGAGTGACAAGTGGGTTACTTACGGCATCCACGGTCCCCAACCGCCTTCGACCGGCTCCAGCAGATTACGATTGTTTGGAATGCACTCCCCGTGGTGGCACCAGCTGAAACCCAAAATGAATCGCGCGAACTCCGAGAGCGATTTTACCTGGACTCCCCGCACTTGGTACCGTCGGCCCATGGCATGTGCTGCGTCTTGCACCCCTCCATGTCCTCCCTCGTGCACCATAAGCTTCCACAGGAGGCCTGCGACTCAAAAATTATACCGCGCGCCGCAATAATCGCCGCTACTCACAATTTCGAATGGGCACAGCTTGTAACCGATCCCGAACTCGAGCTCGCACTGACGATCGACCTTGAAACGTTCGCCGGGCAGTCGCTGTATGAACTGGGACGTGATGATGTCTCGGTTCGGCTCGTCGAAAAGACACGACGACTTGCTCGATCTGCGAACGTCAACGTGAGCGCGTCGTGTGCCTCGCGACCTTTGCGCAACTTACTCGAGAAAGTCGGTGAGATAGTGCCTCGAGCACGCCGACCACAGCCACGGTTTCGTGTCGTTCTGCAAAACCTTGCTCATGATGTTCGCCTTTTCGCCCTTGTTGTATTTCACGCACTTGTCGTCGTCGTCGTGCGGCATGCTGAGAATAATTAAAATTTTTAGTGGCCGAAAAAGGACGACGAGTTCCTTCGGCTCGCTCGGCATTTGTAGGCGTGGTCTTAAGTGATCAGATTTGCTCTGCGGGCCATTTCGTAAAAGGCTACACCAAAGTCGAGCGAGTCGAACACTTGACGTAAAATTAAAAATCACACAACTCGGGAATAAAGGGGCTCAGTAGTAGGCGTAATAGATAAATGGAGCTGTGATCCTACCATAATGAGGGCGGTAAATTAATTTTAAGTATGGGCGGAGCAATTTGGCAATCGCCACCAGTTGTAGTCATATGAAATTGTTGCGGCCACGAGCAAAACCTGGAACATGTTTTTAAGTTTCTGAAATGGCCGTTAGGGGACGTAACTGCAATCTGGAATCTAAAAAAGTGATGTTTCTATGAATTCCGCTATATCAACCTAACAAAAAAATGTCCGGTCTTTGAAGTTGACGATAATCTGAACAATTTTTGTTTGACAATTTTTCCTGTATCTCTAAAAATGAAGTGGTGGGGGGTATTCAAAGGTTTCCGTAAAGAACACCCTGTATCTTCGAAACGGCTGATCCGATTTAAACAAACTCGGGTTAGTTCAAAAGAGCTATTGTTCAGCTACAACTATTATACTACCTGAAGTTTTGTTAGTTTCACATATCACCGCTTGAGGGCCTTTTTCGACATTCCGACAGAAATGGATCATTTTCTCAAAAAAATTAAATGCATTGGTTCGATTTTTTTTTCATGAAAAAGTAGCTAAACAAGTTCGTGAAAACAGCATCTCGTTATCTTCTTGTACTTTTTCGATCAGACTTCTCAATCAAAAGTTATAGACTAGAAACCAAATTCGAAAAAAAAAACACCTCTTCGTATATTATGTTCTCCTAGTAGCACGACACCTTTTGCATAAGATTTTCGACAACTAACAGGTGTAGTATTAGGAAAAGAAACACCTCCTCGCACTCATATGATCCTGATACAGAATTGGCAAATTTTTAAAACGAATGAAAGCTTTGAAATAATTCTGACAGAGCTAGAAAAAGACCTCTTCGTATATTATGTTCTCCTAGTAGCACGACACCTTTTGCATAAGTTTTTTGACAAGTAACAGGTGTAGTATTAGGAAAAGAAACACCTCCTCGCACTCATATGATCCTGATACAGAATTGGCAAATTTTTAAATAGAATGAAAGCTTAGAAACATTTCTGACAGAGCTAGAAAAAGACCTCTTCGTATATTATGTTCTTCTAGTAGCACGACACCTTTTGCATAAGTTTGTCGACACATAACAGGTGTAGTATTAGGAAAAGAAACACCTCCTCGCACTCATATGATCCTGATACAGAATTGGCAAATTTTTAAATCGAATAAAAGCTTTGAAACATTTCTGACAGAGCTAGAAAAAGACCTCTTCGTATATTATGTTCTCCTAGTAGCACGACACCTTTTGCATAAGTTTGTTGCCACAGTCAAATCAAAAGTTATAGACTATAAACCAAATTCGAAAAAAAATTCAAAGGGCTGTAACTTTTGAACTAGTAACCCAATCTTGGAACTGTTTGAAATTATGAATTCTACAGGCCACATTCTATAAGAAAATTTTTTTTCCGGATCGGTCTGAGATAATTTTTTTTCGGGGCTCAAAAAAAGGCAGTTATTACCTTCCTTTTTTACCAAAAATCGACTGCACCAAAATTTCTCGGGAAAACACTTTTTCTTATTAATTTTGGTGCGTAGAATCCAAATCAATTTGTACTTTTTCGATTAGACTTCTCACAGATCTACACATACACAGATTGCTAACATGCATTTTTTGAGAAACAAATTTAGGTATACTTAAAAGCACCCTCTATTGCGGAGCAGTACAAACATGTACCGTTTAAAACTGTAATATGACGCTTATGGATTTCGTTATTTTTGGCATTTGATATTTGTAATCGGTGAATTTATTTTGTGATTTGTTTATAGACACGTATTCAAGAGATCATATATGTATACCTCGATATCTTGAGATATATATATTTTTTTATATCGTGATGGCCAGCATTTCGAGCATTTACGGCGGCATTAAAAGCTTCCTTTTTTTAAATCGATCCACCTTAGGGCAACAAATTATATAAGAAAAATAATTCCGGAAAAATTAGCTTAAAAAAGTAAAATTTTGAGCGTATAAAATTTTCTTTGGCCTAAATTTTAGGTTAGGAACAAGATATCGAGATGCGGTTTTCGCGAGCTCGTTCAGGCATCATTTAGCTACTTTTTCATGAAAAAAAAATCAAACCAACGCATTTAATTTTTTTAAGAAAATTAACCATTTCTGTCGAAATGTCGAAAAAAGCCCTCAAGCGGCGATATGTGAAACTAACAAAACTTCAAATAATATTTGTAGCTGAAGAATAATTCTTTTCAATTAACCAGAGTTTGTTAAAATCGGCTCAGTCGTTTCGAAGATGCAGGGTGTTCTTTACGGAAACCTTTGAATACCCTCCACCACTTCATTTTTAGAGATACAGGAAAAATTGTCAAACAACAATTGTTCAGATTATCGTCAATTTCAAAGACCGGAATTTTTTTGTTAGGTTAATATAGGTGAATTCACAGAAACATCAATTTTT